TCGACGCGCCGCCAGCGGACCAGGCCGGTCCCGTCGTCAGCCAGCGGGCAGGTCAGCTCGGCCGCCCCGCCCGGCAGCGTCGTGACGTCACTGGAGCCATTGGCGGCTTCGGAATGGGCTGATGAGAGAAAATGACTTAGTCACTCTTAACACGTAACTCCTTAAGTGTTAAGGAGAATCGGGATGCTTGAAAAAATGACACCGTTACTTACCCAAACTGAACAGCCAACGCAACACCCTCGTAGGCCAGTTGGCACTACCGGCATAATAAGTGATGAGGGCTCTGGCTTGAAAGGCCTTAACTGGTAACGATACACTGTTGAAAGTCTTTCGAAACATACCTACATATATATATATATATATATATATATATATATATATATATATATATGTCTAATTTCGATCAAGCGATCAACCTGACAGACTGCTGGGCCGATATATGTTGGCCGCACAATGAGTGCAACATTGGTGTCAAGAACCAAGACGCCTTTCCTCTTCACAACGTTCAAACTCTCCTCATCCCAGAAGCAAATCATACTAACGGCACCCAACAGGTGGACATCAAGGTCGACGTCCTATGCCAATACATTTCCTCTCCATTGCAATGTGTTTTGTAGTGCGATGCAATATGCAATGCAATACGATGTGTTTCGGAAAAAAAGCGTCTTGGCCAACACCGTTGCCACATTTATTTCGCGGCCATGTGACGAGCCGCAGACCAATGGAGCTCCGTGGACGAGGATCCCCACCGCTTTCCTCACGCGTCGCACAATATCGACTTACCGTCTCCGCTGACCCTGCAGAATTAGGCGCATTTATTCGCCATTAGGCAGGATCGTCGGCACAATGCCAGCGAGCTATACCAGTAATAAAGGGAAATCACGCCGGTCCCTCACGGAACACTCAGCCCCAACTGCCTCTCATCGCCAAGATCTGGCGATCAATTACCGCACGCAGCAAATTACCAGGGAGGATTAGGACACACGGGTCAATTTTTACGCTCATACATGCAATGCTACAAGCTACGTAATGCTCTTTAGCTCGGTGTAGGTGCTACAGGAGAGGGATGCGTTCTTTAGTGGCACTGCCGCAAGCATCATGATCTACCCGACCACAACAGGCGTTCCCACCGGATTCCCCAAATCCTCGCGCGATGCCTCTATCTAAATCGCGGCGCATTTTCCGTCGGCCTGCCACCGTCCCCGGACGCCATTGATTCCGCTGATCCGCCACCCTTTGCATGCCAACCAGCTGGCGGGATCAACATCAGCAGCGCCGTCAGCCTCACGCGCCCCGCCTGCTCTCCCGCGGGGTAGAAAACACGCCGGGCAGAGAGGGTCGGGGAGGGAGAGAGAGGGAGAGATGGAGAGAGGGGGAGGAGAGCGAGGCAGAGCGCCGTGGCCAACTGTCACCGACGCAAACAAACGCCGCCTGCGCATAAAAATTTATGAAGTCCATTTCTTCAAGGGAAAATAAGTGAAACGAGCTCTTATGGAAGATGAAACGAACCAGCGCGTCGCTAGCCTTTTCGTTTTTAAACGAAGCGCTTTTAGTTATGACCCCATCCCAGCAGGGCCGAAGCGGGGTTCTAGCCGCGGCTCCCCTTAGCGGGCCGTCGGCGCCACGGGTGGAACCACGAGTGCTAGTCGCCGGACAGAACAAAATCCAGAGGCCGAGGGTCAACAAGATCCAACAAAGTAAGCAGCGCAGTTGGCTGAGTGCGCGAATGCTATGTCGTCGCTCTGTAGTGGAGTGTTGTAATTTTTGGCACGGTGCTTAGCCTTTCATCCTCAAAAATAGTCAACCATCTTAAAACTTCCATTTATCTTTGAATTACTGCGACGTTCTGTCCTATTCCACCGTTTTGCACATGAAGCCTTCTCTGAGCGAGATCAGACAAAAAATAACGCATGGCACTAAAACTTTCTGTTTTTTATGCCGTATAGCAAGCATGACAACATGAGCGTGACGCCAAGACGCCGGTCAAGCTCCCGCGCTTTGAGCTGAAGATACCTCGGCCAGGGTCACCCTTACACTGCGGCAGATCCTGCTCCAACCCGCGCACCGTCTCGCCAGCGGATCCTGCTCAAGCCCACCCACCGTCTCGCCGGCGGATCCTACTCCAGCCCACCCACCGTCTCGCCGGCAGATCTTGCTCCAGCCCACCCACCGTCTCGCCGGCAGATCCTACTCCAGCCCACCCACCGTCTCGCCGGCAGATCTTGCTCCAGCCCACCCACCGTCTCGCCGGCAGATCTTGCTCCAGCCCACCCACCGTCTCGCCGGCAGATCCTGCCCCAGTCCACCCATCGTCTCGCCTGTGGTCTTCACCACCAGTGATGGCCTCCAGCCCACCCAACGTGTCTCTAGTGACTCCTCCAACTCACCGCCGTGTTTCCAATGACCTGCCCCCTGTGTACCCCCCTCACCCCCTCGGCGGTGAATCACGTACCTCGTACAGTGAGCCGAGCGGCCGCCGAGAGTCGCTTCATCTGTGCATAGTTCCTGGCCTCGCACACGTAGTTTCCGGCGTCGTGCTGGGTCACGTTCTCTATCACCAGGTCACCCTCGCCGGCCAGGTGATACCTGGGATGACGTCACGCCACTTCATATCACGTCTAGTAGTTCACAACAGGCTTCAGCCGGCGTTACGTTTGGGCCAGGAGGGATCAACGTGTACCTTAACACGCAGCTTTGTAGGCAAAGGTACTGAAAGGTGCCTTGTGCCCGACAATGGCATGCGGAAACAGTTTCGTGCCTATTGTTAAGCATGAAATGGGCCAGACCGTCCGACATCAGACATTAAGCTTGAAAACGTCAGTGTCAGAACCTGTCCTCACACAAGAGATAAAGCTCGTCCCGTGCCGGTCACATACAAGTCGAAACTCTTCGGCAGCTGTCGCTGGACGTGAGATGTGATTTTCCCTGCACCTGTTGTCGGACGTGATGCGATATATCTCGTACCAGTAGTCGTGCGTCATGCCCGCCCTGTACCTGCCGCTGAGCACCAGACCTCCGGGTACCTGCCGTCGGGCATTAGCCCCGTCTCTACCTGCCGTCGGACATTAGCCCCATCTGTACCTGCTGTCGGACATCAGCCCCGTCTGTATCTGCCGTCGGACGTCAGCCCCGTCTGTACCTGCCGCCGGACATCAGCCCCGTCTGTTCCTGCTGTTGGACATCAGCCCCGTCTGTACCTGCTGTCGGACATCAGCCCCGTCTGTACCTGCCGTCGGATATCAGCCCCGTCTGTACCTGCCGTCGGGCATTAGCCCCGGCTGTGCCTGCCGCCGGACATCAGCCCCGGCTGCACCTGTCGTCGGACATCACCGCCTGTACCTGTCGTTGGCCGTGAGGTCCAGCCCGGTGTCGTCTCGCAGCCAGCGCACGGTCGGCGGAGGGTCGCCCTTGGGTGGTGAGCACGCCAGAGTGACCCGCTCTCCAGCCGTCACCTCCGCATCCAGCGGCCGCACCCGGAACTCCTCCCGCAGCACTGCAACGCCACACAGCCGGTGAGGCTGACTCGGTGGCACTGCAGCCAGGCGCGCACCGGGCCGCCGCGTGCTGCGACGGACACCACCGGGCCGCCCCGTGCTGTGACGGACACCACCGGGCCGCCCCCATGCTGCGACGGACACCACCGGGCCGTCCCGCTAATCGGCTTCTCGGCTTCCGGAGCTTCAACCCCGCTGCATGGCTTCCTCTGAAGAAGATGGGCGTCTTACGATGCTGGAGGAGCGACAGAATGGCAACAATGTTGATTATGCGGGCTGCGCTGTACATGCTTTGATGTTTCAGCCGCCGCCGCTGCTTCCCGCAGCTCGCGGCTGCAGCAATGCATGAAATCCACCTATTGACAGGCGTCCCAAATGGCGTGTGTAAGAAAGATCATGATGAACACGCGGCGTCCGACAACATCGCGGCGGTGGTCAGCGGACGCGACCCAGCGCGCCAAATGGAGCCTCTCGTCGTAAGGACGACAGCGCGGCTGCCCGCAGCTTTACGACTGCTCCCCGGGAGTCGGTGACATGATGCGTCAGTCCGTGCCCCCTCCCGCGGGGAGAAACGAGGGAGATGACGGGCCGTCGGCGGCCGGCGGTGGCGCTGTGCCGCTCGGCTGAGCTTGCCGCTGAATGGATGCGGATTGCTGCGGCGGGTCGCAGCGGGGGGGGGGGGGAGGGAGGGGGTGACTAGTGAGGGATGTCAGAAGAAACGGCGCGGACGGGCAGGCCGACTTGATGGTGGTCTGTTCCGGCCGGCGGCTACTGTGGCGGGCCGTGCGGCGGTCCTCCGATATGGCGGCACGGACAGAGCGGCGGTGCCCCGACATAGCGGACGGACGGAGTGGTGATACCCCGCCATAGCGGGACGGACGGAGCGGTGATACCCCGACGTAGCGGGACAGACGGAGCGGCGGTCCCCCGACATAACGGGACGGACGGAGCGGCGGTCCCCCGACATAACGGGACGGACGGAGCGGTGATACCCCGACTTAGCGGGACAGACGGAGCGGCGGTCCCCCGACATAACGGGACGGACGGAGCGGTGATACCCCGACATAACGATACCGGGGCAGAGCGTCCAAACAAAAGCAAAGCAGGGTCGCGCGAGAGGGTGTCGTGTGAGCAGAGTCGCCGGAACAAAATACCCGAGCCTAGAAGGGCCGCGAGATGGCTTCTGCAGGCAGGACGGAGCAACCAGAGAGAGGGATACCAGGAAGAACAGAGCCGTGAGAGGGCACCACCAAGCGGGGTGGGACTGCAGTGTCTTCAGGCTGGACACAGCTCCGGAAGAGGGGGATCACCGCGGCGCTGTCCCGACCGGAACGGACACAGTGCCAGGCAAGCCGTAATGACGCGTGACGTCCCGGGGTTACGTGAAGCAAAAACGAGGGAGGAAGAGGGGCGAGAAACGAGAAAAAAGGATCGGGAGAAAGATGATGTGGGTGTCGCCGCATCAGGATATTTCTTTCCTACACCATGCATGGCATTTTCTTAGCCATGATTATCAACATGCGCACAGCACCGTCTCATACGTTCTACTGGCCGTCTCCAGGTCCGTTGTGTTTGCATGCAACGTGACGTTTATTTGCGTCATCCTGGTACTGTCAGCAGCTTTCATATTATCATCCTCATTAATCTCGTCCTGAAGCTGTGGTGCGCATCAGTCGGATACGTAACGAGAGGTCGGGGGTTATTTAGAAGCAACATAAAACCAAAAACGCGTAAAAGCGCCACCGAAAACCGACACGTCACACCGGGCTGACAAAGCACGAGCCAAATAACACGCTAACCTCGCATTACTCCCAACTCCCTGACAGAGATAATACAAAGCACCTTGACCTGGTAATTAAGACTGATAACGTACCGTTGTGTGCTCTAACGCATATTGCGCTGTGCCTGGTGGCTAGAAGTTGAGCTCAGTAAGTTGTGGTTTACCTTTGACCTTTTTACCATGGAAGCGGTGCTTGACGGAGGAGAAAAGCTGACGTGCCCCATGTGCCAGAAGCGTCAAAAGCGATGTAAGAAACTCATGATCAGAGGTTCCCATGCATCCTTGTAGCGCGCTTCAAACGTTTCTTGCTGCAGCCGGATCAGAACAGAGGTAAGCTTAGTACCACTGTGGACTTTTCCGCCAGTGGTCTGGACCTGTCGTCATACTCCGCTGTACCGGCAGACTGGAAGCACAGCCTGTACGGCGCGACACGACATTGACCACATTCTGGGCGCACTCGGCCCACTACACGGCCCACTGTAAACACCAATATTTGGGAAGTATGAGGAAAAAATCTGGTAGAGTACGACTCCAGAGTCCAGCCCATCTGCATGTGCGCGCCACACGTAAAAATCATGCACGCTTTTTTCGAGCTGGGCAGTCACTGACTGGGGCCGCTCTGAACCCCAGGACTTGAGAGACCTCGAGTGAGCTGTCCCACCTCTACTCCCGCCGGCTAATCGCTGTTGTAATGCCCAGCTCTTACCGTTTATGCCCGGCTAATGTGTTAATTTCTGGTCAGCTTCGCGGCCCGAATGTGGTCTAACCCCGCTGGATACGCGAAGGCGGACTACGGTCGTCCCGAAATACGGACCGCTTTGTACAGCGCACCGCGCCGCGACACGGCGATGTCTCCCCTGGCAGCAGCGCGGCAGGACGTGCGCGCCGTTGCCGTCAGCCCTGAGGCGCCGCTCATTTGCGGTCGCCGTTATAGCCTGTCTGGGCGTGCGAGCTCCACTTGACGCGTGCCACTCTGGGGAGCTGTTCGGCGCCTTCCGCCGAAGACGGGCCAACAGGTGCGCTGTCCAGCGGCGCTGGCGGAGCGGGCTCTCCCGACCTGCGCGCCTGTGGAGAAGAGCCTACAAGCGAGGTCGGTGGCACTGGGAGCACCTTATGGTGTTGCCAAGGCCTGAGTTGTGTGCGAATGACAAGTTGGTATTGATAGTCAACTGTCACTGAACCTGTCGCTGTGGCCGAAACCAAATTGCAGTAACACCAAATAAGAAATGGATGTCTTTAATGGCTACATTGGACAGCTCTCCATCAGAGACGGCAGTTTGTAATCGTTACGCGCGCGACCACACCCTCAGATATTGCCAGCATCACAAGCCTGCGTCAACCCCGGCACTCTCCTTCCGGGGCCGTCAATCCTAGACGCCGCTCCACTGATTCTGACCTCCTCGCCTTGCGAAGCTGTGCAGCCACAGATCTGCTCCTACGTGACTGAGAGCCACCTATTCTTCTCCTCCAAGAACCATTTCCGGCTCCGTCTCTCCACTGAAATTGCGTTCCTTATCATATCCGGCCGCATCCGCTCGGCCGGCTGCCCACCGGTAGCTCGCACCTCTCTGCCTCCAGGATCAATCCAAAGGCCCCGATTGGCTTACGACGCAAAGCGCCTTTCCCAGCTCCAGACCTATTGTATTGACCTAATCTGGCTTGTCGTAAGCCCTGTTCAACATAACTGAGCTGAATTTGAAGAGATAAAAGTGATAAAATGATGGCGCAAATGTGACAAGCAATCTTCCAGAATATAACATATACAGTCATAGCTGCCAACCTAGCGTTTGCACGTGACGCGATGCAAGATCATGTGACGTCACAATACCTAACCTATTGCAAGCGACCAATAAGAGCCCATAACACAACCAATAGAAGCCCGCAATGTAACTGGCTGACCTTGAACAGCGGCAGTCGTTCTGCAGCAGTTTGCCGCAGACGGCATGGAAAAAAAATTGCCTGTGCCTTTACGTGGCTTGGCGTTCGAGACGCGTAAGCATGTAACGGTAAATGATCACACCTCTGCTGAAAGGCAAGCCGAAGCAAAGTAACCACCACTCACTGCACTTAAGTTCTCGATCAGCGTTTATAAACACGACGGACTTCAATTGTGCGATGACCAGGCACGTCACAGGGTTCAGGTTGAATTCACTGGGTTCACATCAGAGACATCAGAGTCTGTCACATTCAGTGACACCTAGATCACTCTTAAGTGTAATTTGCGTCATATACCCGAACACAGCAGAATTTGCCGCCATCAACTTGCATGTGCCTCGTTCACGCTGGTACTGTTCATGTTTGCATTATTGACGTGGCGCTTGCCATTCACAGCTGTGGTGAATTGTAAAGGATAAGCCACACCACCTCAACCGTATGGTTTAATACGACACCTCTCAGACTTTAACATAAATAAATCACCTGGCGTATATCCATCACCATGATAATCACCGTCGGAAGTGATCAATCACCTTTCTGTTTAATTTCGGCGTTCGGGCATCTGGATGTGCAGGCTTGAGTATAATAATATGCGCGTTTGAATAATAAAATGCATGCTTAAATGTAATTGAATACAATAAGATATAAATAGATGTGCATCTATTTCAATAAGACGAAAATCAACTAAGCACGGGATTCAAGCTTAGGAAAGCTAGCTGAACACTTGATTTGGTTTGATTTTTATAGTTTTTACTTGGTGGTTTAGTTTGTTTTATTTGGCTAGCGTATCCGAATAAACGTCATATTTGTGCCCGGCCAAAGCGGTCATCATGGGATATGCAAGCACAAGTTTCTCTCGTCTGAGTGGGAGCATGTCGGCGCGAGCGATCGGTGTGCAACGCCAGGGCAGGAAACCCCTCTTTTTTGTCAAACTTCGCCGAAAAAGATGACTTATTGGCATAAATGTAGCTAAATTAAGTGTTCACGCAGCCACAGCCCGATTGCATTCATGCAGCAACACGCGTAAGAAATATGCGAGATGGGCTTTATGACAGCTCGTTACAGAAGTCGTATACGTTTAGTGTAACTGGCACAATTATTTTGCAATCCAGTATGCATATGCTTCTCACCCGCAAGGTGATGAGCAAAACCATCAATACGCAAATGGAGACTTTCCAGCCATCTTCCTCTGCATGCTAGTTTCATCTATGCCTATAAAAATGCCTGATTTTTCTTCGTTGTAGATAATCTGCTTGCATAATCCGGAAAGGTTTTTGGCAGAACCAGCATCATTTATGTTTTAACTCTTCCATGCACATGTCTGGTCGCGGGTTTTATTAGTTAGACCAAGGACATTTGAATACTTATTTTGGGGGTTTCATTGGGATATTTCGCAGGGTAATCCTCATATCTGCCAAATACACATTCAAAATACCACCATGTCAGTTCCATCAAGATTTAGCCAGCGGTAGATATACGGGCTATTAGTTTATGCATTGAGCCAGGGATAGAGGTCCTGTTTGAGGTGTGAAGCCCAATTGCTTCCGGAAATTTGGCACACGCCCGGTGGTGTTCGCCAGATGCATTGTACCCAATAAGCCCTGTTCAATATTGCCAAGGAAGGTCTTGAGCTCCTCGGGTTTTTCCGCAAACTTGAAACATCAGGTTTTGCCAATAAAGTCAATATTTTCTTGATAAACAATACTTTATATCGTTTACCTGGCACCTCCTGTTATAATGAAAGCCGGTTATTGTCAGAATAAGAGCCTCCAACTCATATCACTCTGCTCGCCGGGAGCCGGGGAGAGATGTCAGGCACTGCGCTGAGCGCAGGCGAGAGCCCTCGTCGAAGGCACATCTCCGTGCTCCCAGTCGCTGAACATCACAAATGAGACCACGTCGCGCGTTCTCCATCACTTCCAGTGCCAATAATCCCCTCGCCGCCCCAGCCGGTCATTCGCCTGTCGCTCCTGTGCAGCAGCGTCATGCGTCCAAGTGTTTTTATGGAAGGAGACTGGAACACCGATGGGCTAATAACCTGTCAGCGACATGCATATGCAATTATCTAAGTGTATAAACACAGCATACATTGCTGCAGTAAAGCCTACCACCGCTATGCTGCAATGCAAGTGTCTTGTTCGCTCAAAATATTATTCAATACCCAAATACATTCATACGGGAAATATGGACCCCCTCACCTTCTTTGGAATGGTTTGTGTTCTTATTAAGACCATTTGGCCCATGTCGTCTTACGTCGTCTCTTCTCAGTTGGATTCAACATTGACGTATCCTAGATCGCCGTCACCTGAGGTGCTCCCCGATAGGCAGAGCACCGTCAGTCCGGGCAGAATGCACCCAGGCCGGCTCGCCCCTTTAGTGGGTTTCGCCGCTCATATTTTCTTGTCACCATTACCATACTTTGTGCACCTCTTCATGACCCGATACGTCATCCAAAATAACCGACACAAAAGTCACACGTGTACCGCCGTTGTGAGAATGAAATATAAGTGATAAAACTAATGCAAAGCTATACCGGGTAAGCGTAGCATGTTTTCATTAATTTTAGGCGAACGAAATTCGCCTAAATGCCGCAAATGGCCTCTAGGAAAGCATTACACAAGAGCCTGTCGTGAAAGTTGCCACCAGCTGATAATGCAATGCAAAAACTTTTGTCGTGTTCGGATCTAAACAAACTTGCCCCTAAAACCTTGAATCAATAAAGCAACAGACGTAGTAATTGCCTTTAGAGGTTGGCAACAACCATGTGCAGCGTCGATGGGACATACGTCGCCACCAGTGCGTTGCATTCCTTATTAATCAGCTTAAAGCATATGAATAATTTCACCAAAATGCCCACTCATATGCTTGGCAATAAGGTAAGCGCTTGGCCGCACATTTTACGCCACAGGTGCTGAATATCATATTTCATCTATATCTCACGTTACTACTACATTTCCCTTCAGTCTTAGCCGATTTCAAATATTAAGGATATATACCCGCTGTCAGTAGCCTGTAGCCTGCCGTGGCCACGCCTCCATGCGTGGACGCGTTCTCCGTCACCCAGCTGCCATCACCACATGTAAGGTCGTCAACAGCTCCACAACATGGACTGGGGCTGAGATAGAGCCAAGGCGATACCGCCGGCCACTCTATCCCCTCTCCTTCTCTCTCGCTCTCATTGTTTGCCGATGTAATGGATGTACAGGGGAAGAGGCCGGAAATTCGCGGGAGGCGGGCGGACAGGGGCGCCGCCGCGCCCCCCGCGGAGCCGCGCCGTGAATCGATACACAGCGGGCCCTGCTCCCGCCCGGATCGGGGCCGCACCACCGGGTCATGGGGGCGGCGGAGGCACCGGCCCAGCGTCGTGTAGTGGGCTAGTCCTAGCGACCGGACACCGGCCGGACAGCGTCCAGACACCTAACGCCCGGACACCGGCCGGACAGTGTCCGGACACCTCGCGCCCGGACACCGGCCGGACAGTGCCCGGACACCTAGTGCCCAGACACTGGCCGCTCCGCCCCTGCAGCACCCCAGCTGTGTTGGGCTAGGAGAACTCCGGGAACTCCACCCATCCGAGAGTCCAACAGGCGGCGTCTGATTCCACATGACCACACATTGATGTCGCGAGCCCCAAGTTGACTCCAGTGGCCATAGCGGAAGAAACGAAGCGGACATCACAGTCCAGCGCTACTGCCGAGCGCGACGATTCCCACACCATCACGGACTTCCAGTTCCGCTCCAACTCCAGCTCCGGGCGCGCTGAAGCTGCCCTGGAAGCGAGCCATCGCGCTTACGCACCAGCGCCCTCATGGGACGTTTGGGCCGCGCTGCTGCCGGCCGACGGGCTCTATCTGGCGCGATCAGCGGCCGCCCACTTAGCACTTCCTGCCGCCCGTCCGCGAACGAGCGATCTATGGCCACATCCCGTCCGACCGCGCGTGATCCACGAGTCGGCTCATCCGCACGATGGCGGTTTTCGGACCTGGTATCACCACATGGACAGGAGAGATCTTCAGCCGCGGGACAAAACGCTGGTTGAGGAGGCTGACGGCGAAGACACAAGCTGGCTGCATGGCACTGGCCGGCGGCGGTCGATGTCCGCCTGCTGAGAGGCGCCCCGATACCGACCGCTTGGGTACGTCTTCGAAGTCCGAACCGCCTCTGTTTGTCTCCGGTCTGTCTGCCGTCCGGCCACCAATCCCCCTCACGCCTACCACGGGCTTGATCGTCGCCTTCGATCCGACCACCTGTCGTAAAAGCACGCCCACGCCGCCGTAAAACCGGGCAGACGTGCCACGTTGGCCTGCCGACCCTTGGGCTTCCCTCGGGCCGGCGCGCGCGGTGGCGCGGAAACTCATTGTCTGGGAGGCGGGACCGCCAGGCGCGCGGAATCGCTCTCAGACCACCGACGTTTCCCCCACCACGCGATAGATGAGACCAATCGCCCCGGTGATTTTTCTCCTGCCATTGGATTTGGGAGTGGGACTGAACCTGCTCAGGCTCTCTACCTGAAACAGGATTAGAACTCTGGAAACGGGCACCTTGATGGATTACGTGCCTGTAAGAGAATTGATATGCTTGTGAAAAGCTCAGATCCTTTCCTGGCGTGGGTGATAGGCAACGATTTCTGTCTTTCCTGGATGAACAGTTTTCGTCTGGAGTCGGAGGGAAGCGTGCCGTACCCCTGCAAAGGTTACCTTGTTCTCGACAGCTGAGTTGCAAGAAACTATGCAGTTACCTGTCGTTCATGAGCAAGTGACCACGATCAAAACACTTGCACGCTATGGAAAACCTGGCCATTCAAGACGTGGTGGGGCCGCAGCCGGACTGGTGCCTGTCTGCAGTGGGCACAAATAATAATCCGACTTCATTCGATCCGACTTTTGGTTTCAGTCGAATCCGGATTCAACTCCATTCACTTTTAATCAGATTCCGAATAAATTCCATCCGAACAAAATCAAGCACAAATCTGCCAGCACTACCGCACACAGCCCGTTTCCAACCGCCGGCCGGCCAGGGACGACGCGCATCTCACCCCCTGCCCCCACCCCTCCTCTCTCGCGAGTCGGCGGGGCAGGCGCCGTCACTGACCTGCCACCACGAGCGTGGCGTTGCGGCTCGCATCGCGGCCGTGCCTGTTGTCGGCCACGCACCAGTAGACGCCGGCGTCGCGGCGGCGCACGCTCAGGAAGAAGAGCGAGCCGCGCGGAAGCAGCACGCGGTGCGCCGTGTTTGCCGCCAGTCGCCGGCCGTCCTTGACCCAGCGGACGGCCGGCGGCGGTGACCCGGCCGCCTGGCAGTTCAAGGTCACGGGGCTAAGGCGCGGCACGGTCGCGTCCGACGGGTGCTCGGTGATCCGCGGCGGCTGACCCGGACCTGTGGAGGGGGTGGCTGTCAGTGTGGCGGGGAGGCGGGCATTGATAGCGGCGGGAGGCAGCCAGAGCGGCGGGAGGCAGCCAGAGCAACGGGGAGTCAGTCAGAGCGGCGGGGAAGTAGTCAGAGCGGCGGGGAGGCAATCAGAGCGACGTGGCGGCGGTCAATGCTTTTAATTTGTTTTGGTCCTTTTCGTTGTTTTGGGCGTTACGTTTTCTTAAAAGTCGCATAAACTGTAAAGCATTACGAACACTACACATTCTGCACTAGCTATCATTCGAAACAGCTTATCCCAATGTTCGGGCTTTCTCTTGGCGCGGCCGGCGTCCTGGCCAGTCTCCTCGCCGTGCGCAGCGCCGTAGGTGGAAGGACAGCGCTGAATCCTGGAAGACTGAGGCCGTAGGCCACACGACGCCTGCCACATCCCGTCCAGACTCAGCATAGTCTCACCGTGGCCGCCGAGGAGGTGGTGTGAAATTATTCGCCGGTCGAACGCGGGGAGCGCGCAGTGCTAACCTGACGGATTGCCGTAGGCGTGTGGCAAGAGGAGCGCAGAGTCTGCCCAGTTTCAATTTCGCTGAAACCTATCCGGAAGAGGAGGTGCCGCCAGATTTGCCCATAAATCTCGCGGCACGACTTTGTCGCCTTGAGAGCTTCTGTCACAGCGGGTAATTTGTTGGAGATCGAAGCCACTTTCTAATTCCTGGCTCAGTGGCGCTGTGCCCTGAGGTTATAGCCTCAGGGGAATCGTAGGGTCAAATTTCAAGACTGCTGGCCGGATTAAATTATTGCAGTAATATCTCAGCGAAACTCAACGCCGTATCGCTGGGGATGGATGCAGCGCGGGAGGCATTTCCCTCTGCTGAAGGATTTAACGTAGCCACCCAAGCGTGCCTTTCCTTCAGACGCTTCTCTCCGATCATAAAATCAATATGGCGGCTGAAAGGGCCGATGGAGCCGTCTCATCTTCCGGTCGCAATCCCACGCAATTCTAGACATCGGTTGTATGTTATCTGAGATATTCGCAGTGATGTCTGAAGAAGACGTGTGCTCCGGGCCTGTAAATCGTATTCAAGTCATATGAGCTGGCAGAGTTCTCCAAGCATTCGGACCAGTTGCCGCCAGCTGAAGAAGCGCCCAAAATATCAAACACAATGCTCCATCCTGACGAATCTGTGGGCGGAAAAGGTGATGGCGACATATTCGTTTAGTATGCTGGGGGTAATGTCTTGTACATAGCATGCGTGTACAAGACATTACCCTGACATTATTTAGACATTACATGAGACCTAGTTAGCATGCAGATAAATGTGATGTGAAGCACGTGCACATTGTGCAGCCACCAAAAAGCATTCATAATGCGGTTCTGAAAATGCCAAGAGCCATAACACCAAGCTCCCAAACATCGATATCTTCCGTAATTTCTCACGCAACGAAATTGGTCGAAACGGCGTCGAGCAAGTAATGTCAGGTAATGCAGGTAATGGGCAGGTAATGAGCAAATACATGGGCAAATAATGAGCAGGTAATGTCATGTCTGGCCAGAACTGGCATTCCTGGCACTCCGCCACCGGCATCGCTCGCGGCAACCGGCCACCGTCCCCGCGGATCGTCGATCGTCGCTTCTGGGGCCGGCGACACGCGTCGGTAAAAAGCACGGTACGTCATGACCGATGGGAGCGGCCGGCCGGCGGCTGCCGTTGGGGCGGTGCCGGCGCTCCTGCGGCAGCCGTGGCGCGCTGGATCCGAGAGATACGGCGCCCAGCCGCTCCCGGCTTTTTATCCGGCCGTCAGCGCTCCGCCTGAAGGATTCCCGCGCTTCCACACTGAGGACAAAGGCGTCCGCGCGCGCGGCCGCCGGGGGCGCGTCTTTTTCTGCGGCGGCGTCCGCGCGCGCGCCGCCCGTCTCCGTCAACGGCAGAGGCAATTGGCGCGAGGAGACCGGGCCGATACGTCAGCGGCCCGGAGCCGATGGGCCGCCGTCGGAACCGATGAGTCCGGTGGCCGCCGACGGCGGCGGGGCCGGGAGCGGCGCCGATCGGGGCCGAGCACCGGCGCCCGTCGGCCGGCCGCCAGCCAGAGGTCGCCACTCAGGCCGAGTCGACCCAGCGCCTCCGACTGGGACCGAACGTGCTGACAATGCCTTTATCAGACGCCCGTGTCGCGGGATGTCATGTACGTTCGCACAGCTTCTGATTGAGGCGACGTCGCTTATGGGTTTTGATCAACTACAAGACAGATCTGTCCAAGCTGAATCCAATGCAATCTTCGCAGCGTCCCTTCCAATTGATTTGATCCCCGATATGTCAGGCCCCACCAATTACGGCTTTCTCCCTGATGCCATTCGGACAGCTCGCTGGCAGCTATTGTGGCGAAGATCTGGTCGAACTCGGTCCATGTTTTTCTCGAAAACTGAAGACCAGTCTTCCCAGACTTTAAAGCTGGGTGGCGGAAGAGCAGGGATGAGAAACTAAAATGGAAGTTTCATCAAGCTGACAGAAAAAAATGGCAGCTTCATACTTGATCCACAGCCGCCAAAAAAGTACAGATATGCACGTATTTATATATATATATATATATATATATATATATATATATATACATATATATATGCGTGGCAAGGGCTCACCCAAGCTCTGAGCGGGCGTACATGTGCCGTAATGTAACACGGTCGATGCCACTGCGGACCACGGTGGGAGGCGTCGCCCCCGAAGGCGCCGCTTCTTTGGAAGGAGCAATCAGAATTCATTTGGGGCGGGGTCCGAGGAGTACGGAGGCTGCTTCAGCAGCTCGATGTTGTCAGTCAGAGTTTCAGTCGCAACAGCGGCGCGATGAGGCGGGCGCTGTGGTGGTCAAGAGCGAAACGGTCGCGCGTCTTTCTCAGAGGCGTGTGTTTCGCGATGGCCTGAAGGAGATGTTTACTCAGGATGGTTTTGTACCACGAGTTTGTGACAGTGGAACCTTTGGGAACTGGGCTGGCCTCTATTCTGCCCGCGGGCCCAAGGCATGGTGTGCATCGCTCTTTCGAACGATATTTGAACACGATTTTTGGTGAGGGGGAGAGTCCGTGTTTTCACTCCACCGACCGTGGCGGGCCCGCGTGCTCTTCCTACCCTCCTCCACAGCGCAGGCACCCGCGGACGCACCAGTTTGTCTCGGAAAGGGCGTTATCGCCATACAATCTTAGCATCTTTGTGAATTTCACGTGTGCGTGCGTGCGTGCGTGCGTGCGTGCGTGCGTGCGTGCTTGCGTGTGCGTGTGTGCGTGCTTGTGCGTGCGTGCGTGTGCGTGCGTGTGTGTGTGTGTGTGCCTGTGCGTGTGCGTATGCATGTCTCATTGGGGCTTTACGACGCACTCAGCTGCTGAGACTATATGGCATCGCCTGCCTCTCGCCCTGGCAGGAAGGGCGGGCACCACAAGCAATCGAATCCCCCACCTCTGTTTCCCAGACGCGCAGTGGTTGACGCAGGCACCTTAACCACTACACTACCAGCACCCCGTGAATTTCACATGCCGTCTTCTTCTGCAGTGTCAAGAACCTAACGACCGGCGCTGACGGAAAATGAACTCCCAAATAGCGCTGTACCTCCCCGGGGAGGATGTAGCGCTCAAATACCCTATTTGCTGTAGATGGGCATTACTGTGTGGGCTGCGAGCAAAGAAGATAGGTTGAACGCTGGTTTGAAAAACAGAGACAAGTGCAACGTCACGCGTCTCTTTCACAGCACCTTAACGAATCTTACTTTTGGAATGGAAATGCTTCGCTTTAGCCAATTAGCCGTAGAGGGTTGTGCTTATCTTTTTCCATCGGCCCTACCAGGTATGAAGAACACGCATATGAGCTTTGATGAAAGTTTCAACCCATCAAATTAATCAGCCCGATATGCGACATATCGCGACAGCCGAATCGCATTCTGTCTTTATGGGCTGTTAGGTGTAGGTTAGTTTGCCAGCTTAAAAACAGCTTAACGGGAAGGTAAAGACGATCTAAATTGGCAGCATGTGCGACCTATGCATGTCAGGATACCCTTAGATGTTAGGTTTTAAGGATACTGTTTCATTTTACAGCTTACTGAGCTTGTTTTCTTCCCGTTCCGGTTCGGGACCCGCAAACCCGTAACCCCGTAACAAAGCCCGTCAAGCCGTCCTCGCTGTGCCAACTTTGACGGTAAAACTGTCAGCGAACAATGCAAGCTCTTGCTTTGACAGATGGCCAGTTGCTGAACAAAAGTTAGAGGCATATTTCTACCGAATGCCAATGTGAGGCACAATATTCCCATGGAAGGCTGCCTTCCCCATCACTTATACATGGACGCATGCATAGAGCCGACATTTTGGAAGCGGCTGTGGGCGCTTAGAGTTCACTAATGGTTCACAGGCGATCAATGCTGCATTTGGCACGGTGTGCTCTGGCCAGGCTAGGCAATATATCGTTGGTGGGAAGGAAAATTTCGCTGGCCCCAAATCATATATTCTTTTAAGGAAATGTAAAAAATGAATTATGCCTACAGGTTGCAAAATTGCTATTGCACCATGCAATCTCATCTATTGAACATTTGAAATTAAACCAGTCCGTGCGCCCAGACACCGGAGCTCCCGTTTTAAGCATGACGTTTACTCAATTCGAATGGTTTTCTTAGCGGATGTTACAGTGACATTTGAGGTCCAGTAACACGTAGACTACGTTGGTCGTTCTACGTCCTCACGGAATAACCAGTCAAGCATTTAATTTGAAGCTCCCTCATTCACATCACTTTCCTAACATAAACAGCTGAATAAATAGCTAAATGCACAGCTAAATAAAAGTCAACGAGAGCGTTTATGCACGGACGCAGTTGCGCCTGTATCGAACTATGTGCACAACATTGTTGTATGTTTCTAAGTCACGCTGAGGTCGACGCTGAATAAAAACTTTTTGAGAAGTTGAATCGGCGACAGCGATCTCCCCAAAGAGCTGTATAAGAGTCGTTGCCGGAAAATGGGAGAGTCCTGCAGCATCATATTCGGTACAGCCAATATCGGTTAATATACGACATCAGATGAGTTGACAGAACTACGAAGAATCTGTGAAGAAAAAACGTCTAAGGTATTACAGGAGCATATCACCCAGCTGGAAACGGTATTCCAACGGCACTTATCAGCTACGAACACCCCTCAACCTCGGCCGCCCAGATCTATAACGTTTGGATTGGTGTCTGGTGTGCAGTAAGTCGCCCCGACGCTCCCACAGCTCTACCAGCTCGTCAGACGAATTTTACATCATTGATAATACAGTTGCATTGTCAGTGGTCTTGCCTGCAAATGCACATCATTTGCAGGTGTTCGACACAAATCATTCCAAATCAAATTTCCAAACACCCAGCTTGGATGGAATACTCAGCTTCCGTAATCCGCTCCCGGTGCCAGCACACATCCACGAACCTGAATGATGTAATTTCGCGCTGTAGGCGCCGATGCACGGTAATAGCCGGCATAAGTGATGGCTGGTCACGCGATCACCCGACTGAGTTATCTGCACCACCAGCTCGGTTTCCAGACAGGTGAGCTCGCCGGATATTTCAGCACGCGGCGCCTCCTTGCACGGCCGTGGTTAAGATCAGGCCGCCCGGACCGTGAGTGGTTACGGCGCTGACGACACGGCAGTCTCACGCGGTTTCGTGCTGAGCCTCTCTTCAGCAGCCCCACTTCGACTCTGTCTCGGTGCATCAGCTGTTTCCGAGTCCCGAGTTTGCAACGAATAAGAGTCGACCGCGGTCGGAACTAATTGGGATGAGGCCCGATCGAAGTATAGGTTTCCATGGCCAATTTAGGCGACAATAATAAATTTATGTGACAGTAGTTCAGGATACAGCCCCGTTCCAGCGTCTGCCATGTACCTACATGCCTGTCTGAGTCACATACAGACCGACCAGGAAATCTCGTAAGGAGATGAGAAGACAAGAATGCTTCGAGTATTCAAATGATAGCACACACAGCCTGTCATAGCAGGGTCACCTGCTGCGACCCAGGGTCACCCCTACTGCGACACATCGATTGGTGTATCATCCACTATGCGTGGCCCTTTTCGCGCTCCAACTCCTGCGCTTTTGATCTGATTGTTTATTCAGGACTTGTCGTGTGAAGCCAGGTTGATTGGGTCTATTCCACTTGCACGCAAAACGGAACACGTGTCTGGCTGTGTGCGTTAGATCATCATTTAGCTGATTGCGATAGCGGGAAAAGTTTGGCGACGGTAGGAATGTTCCTTGAGTATAAAAGCAGATTGTCAGCAAGAGCGAACTGCACCAGCCTGACCTAAATTAACGGCATCATGACCACATACCCATTCTCCACTAGAAATACATTTTCTGAAAACGTCTGAATCGAGGTCAGGAGCACCATGAATGTGAAAATTATGAGCCCACCATAAATCAGCAGTGACGTACTTGCATTAATGAACATTGTCCACTGAATAGCATGAGCAGCTCGGGTCTCTTGAGTGGGGTTTTGCGATCATTACCAACCAGTATGACGGATTGAGTTCAGTGTGAGCCCCATGTGAGTGCCATTAAGCCTACTGCGAAACACAGCGCTGATCCTTTCACTTACGGCGGATAGTACATACATTGGGCATTTGTGCTGCCTCGCAGCTGATAGTGCGGAAGATGTTCTGCCGATGCGGCGATGATAAACGGTTTGCTTTCCTGTTCAACTACCGAAATAGGATCTGGACATTAACTTCATTTCCCCCACAAAGCCCAGCATTTTCGTTGTCCACGCTATCAATCCAGCTTTTTGAAGCAAGAAGACAGATCAATTAAGTTGTTTACTTGGGCGCCGTTACAGGGTGCGCACCGCGGAAGTTGAAAGATGGCCCGTCTAGAACATTCTCTTCCACGCAGCGGGCTTTTGCGGAGCCACCGGCCAACGTCCACCCTACCAGTGCCAAAACCCCGCCAGCATTCAAAGGCAACACCATGACTGATTAACACCGGCCCTGAACAGACCCCAATCCGCGTCTAATCGGCCCAGGGCAAAGGTCTGACCAGCACGGTCGCAGAGCGCCGGACTGGAGTCAGTGCGCTGGGGCAGATTGGGGAGGCCTTGCAGGTGGCACGACCTCGCGTGAACGCTACAGGCAGTACCCAGCAGCCTGAGCGAAGTAGATGGAAGACCAAAACATGTGGCGCTTTGTGTACACGTCCCTGGACGTGCTAGTGAGGACACGCATGACAGACAAGCAGATGTTAAGATCCGTGGTACAGTAGGTTGGCGTCCGCTCAGTAGCCTCCAAGGATGACAGTCAGGTAGCAAAGGCCAGTCTGCTAACGTTATATTTGAAGTCGTTGGCGCAGGTCAGTTGGCTTTCAACTAGTTTAACCCGTTGAGCGCAAGTTTCGAACACAAACTACGTTTTGTGCGACATAATACAGGAATTCGGGCAGTGGTGCGAGTTGTGACGGGAATGAGAAAAGGAATGGAGTAACTTAAAGGCAGTGTTCCACATTTATATGTGGTTTTGAAATGGAATGGCCACCTTGAAGACATTTCCGTGCTGTTCATCATCCTGCCCTTCTTAAGACCTAAGCCCCTCTATTTTTGGGGCTATGCGCCTGCGAAAATGGGGAGAGTATTTCGGTAGGGAGTATTTCAAAGTTACCTTGGCATTTTCGATGCCATACAAACGACATTCAAATCCTGTTATTTCATAAGCCATGCGACGATCAAGGCCATAGTTGTCGAGGCGTTCATATTTGGCATTCGTCAGCACAATGTCCAGATATAACGACCGTCAATGGGCTCTCAGTCGATGTTGTGCAAAGAACCATGACGTAGTCGAACGATGACGCATTAAGAAACAAGTTACTAAACCGAGAATTATGCAGTCCTTTCCACTTAAAAATTATACCAATAGCTATAAGCCAACTTGACTGATGGTGTTTGTTTCTGATGTCATGTCTGATGTTTGCTTCAATCTTTTCAAACCTGAAACATTGCCTTTAAACGTGGCACCCTTACCAAGCATGTCAATGGAAGCAACAACAACCAAACATAATGGCGGACAAATGTGAAGCAACACCGAGAGAACGGGCCAAACATGAGACAATAGCGATATCTGGGCGCAGTAAACAGGTTCTAGAAAACACCGGCACCTATCGGCAAGTTGGAGCAATGCAAGAGAGTCGACCCGTCCACTACAGTGGCAATTCTCTCATGACCTGTCTGGCAGTGGCTCTGATGCCATGAAGACGTTTCCCGACGGAATCATATGATGACGTACTGAGAAATATCTTCATAAAAAACAATTTTTTGTCTAAGGTAGCCCTTTGTAGTCAAAAACAAATCAAAAGTCACAAGTGATCTTATCATGGCTTGGCTTGGCTTGAGCAGCCCAAGCACTAACTGGCCGCGAATATATAGACCTTGAAAGGGGAAAAATAAATCGCGTGAAGCTGCCTTGTTGGGGTGGCGTCACCTCGAGAGCTGATTTGGACGGCGTTGCCAGTTCCCTTATATTTTTCCCAAGAACTCTGGCATTCCATTTGAATTAGTTATCCTTGTGGAATTTTCTCACCGGGCTTTTTTGCTTACCGCTTTAAAAAAACGCATGTCTTATACACTACAATCTTAGTTTGCTTTACCCAGGTCAGGCAAAAATGCCTGTTTACCATACGCACTTTCCGACCACATCGTCACCGTCACAATTTGTGTGAATGCTGGTACGTTACTCGCTTATGATACGAGGTTCAGATAATTCCAATCCAGCGCCAACCGTGGTGCTTAAGGTTTCGACACATAATTACGTCACCGTAAGTCATCGCCAGAGCTACAATCTCGCTGCCACGTGTGTAGGAAGAGATCTTCACGGGGCGGTAGAGGTCTTCACAGGTCAGATTTTCCTGACCTGATCCACCCGCTATCCAAAAGGGTTGTGCCCTTCCCCATACGCTGCCCATTTGCTGTCAGCTATGCCATCCAATTACACGTCCGTTCGAGTCGCTCAGCGCTAAGCTCTACATATGAAAAGGTTTCCAGAGTTTACGCCGAAACGTACTCTTTGTGCTTATAATTGAAAAAGTAGTGTGAATGGAGTTAATCGTGACTAAAGGAAGCACAATTAGCAGTATTTTATAGTAACACTTTGAAGAATCTACACGACATTTTGCAAACGCCTTACCCATCCGTCTTCGTCCCTTTAATTTTCCCCAAGTCGGTAATTAAGTCAACCCGTTACCTACTACATTTGGGCACTCATGGATTTACCCAAACCGTAAAATCCTCTGGGGCGACTTGTTCTGACGGATTACCCACCTGCACATTATGGTCCCCGCCATACTAGAAGTGAAATATCACTGTTTACATCTTTCACCAGCTACTCTGTTTGAAATCAAACCATTATCCAACTGCTTACTCTTTACTTCGAGTGACCAGGCTCACCTTTTAGGTTAAGCACGTGATAAATACCCCAGGCACTCATCGCCAAAATGTTGGTGTGTAATACATTTCAAAAGTACAACGCTTCCTTTAAATCTTGTTATAAATCCCCTTACACCACACCGCCCTTTATCCCCACCCCCCATCGCCCATCCACGTTCCTTGTCATTCCGTCGGTACCGCAAACACCCAAAACGGCTAGTGGAAGCTCATGATTTTTCCGACCCTAACTTAAGCGAGCCATGTAATGATTGTTCACGAGGCTAACGCGGTTATGCATCTGTGTGAGCCAGAGGTGACTGATCGGAGCGCATCAATCATTCATGGGATGTCCGTATACGTCGCAGATCGATTGAGTACATGCAGCAACACTAGGAGCACTTAATCAAATGACCACCATGAAGGGATTCCACTCACAAAACGTCGGTTTGTATATGGACAGCTTTGACCCACATAAACTGCGAGAGGGTCGTCATAGCAGGTGAACCCACCAGCTGCGCATACCTTGCGAGAGAGTCCGGTCGGCCCAGCGCCGCCAGCAGGATGGCGCTGCAAAGGGCACGCGCCGCCGCCATTGCCGCGGCCGCACGCGCCGTCCGTCCGGGCCGCGGCGCCGCACTGCCGGCCACCGTTGCCTGCCCCGGGGGCGAGCTGTATGGTCGGACGCAGCCCTGCACCGCCGCCGCCGCACCGGGCTGTCCGCGGGGGTACTGCGGCCGGCGGGAGGGGAAGGGGGGGGGGGGGCTGCGCCCGGCGGGGTACTTCGGCCGGCGGGGGGTACTGCGGCCGGCGGGGCGTACTGCGTCAGGGCTACTGCGGCCGGTGGTAGGTTCTGCGGCCAGCGGGGGTACTGAGGCCGGCGGGGAGTACTGCAACCGGCGGGGGTACTGTGGCCGGCGGAGGATACTGCGGCCGGCGGGGGGTACCGCGGCCGGCAGGGTGAAGGTGGGTGGGGGGGGGGGGGGGGGGGGGGGGGGTACTGCGGCTGGGCCGCGGTCGGTCTCGACTGGACCCGACCGCGGCCTGGTCGCCGGCGCGAGGCGGCTGCCGGCTGTGTCAGCCGCTCTGCCGCCACTGGAGTGGCGCTCGGGGACCGCTGAGGACGCCCCGGCAACGCCGGGGTCCTCTTCAGGCCAAATACGGCCGCTGAAGACCGCTCAGGCTGCTCAGAGAGCCGAAGTGTGGGTGCAATACTAGTCTACCACCCGGCCGGGCATGGTGCAGTGTTGGGGTGTGAAGTTCCGTTAGTGGAAGTTTCAAATACAAATAGTCCAATAGATTATTGGCGCTGCCCTTTGTTCTGACAGCAGGCAGAATTTCAGCTGCTGCTCTAAGACTTTCGGAGCTACATGCTCCAGCAATAATGAGGCGGGTGGTGGGTAACAGCCTGAGGATCTCGAGAATTTGAACATCTACCTTGCCCTTCGGCTTATTACATAGTTTGTTCGCAGTCTATCAAATTGTAATTTAGCTTGACGCCTAGATCCAGCACGGCACCGCCAACTTATGCCACGCATTTCAAATGTTTTGGAACGCAGTTGGGCTTACACCCAAGGGAACAGATGGCTTTTAGGCCAGAATGAAAGCAAGATAACGAGATATGTTAAATTGAGCTCAGATCCACAGACAGTCCTATCAGCCCTGGGCGCATCTTTGCAGTGTTTCACTTCGCTTGTGCCCGGTCTATGGTTGCTGATAGTTCGCAGTGAAATAGCTTGGATCACATGTACAAGGTGAACACAAGCCATCTCAAGCGCACGTGGGTTGGCTTAAAGTGAAAACAAGGTGAAACGTAAGTTAACTCAAGGCCCCCCGTGGCGTTTGGCTCAAAATGTTGGAGCAAAATGCAAGGTTTCCATGCTGATCTCAGCGGAAGATCGGTGTAATTTATGTGTAAAGGTAACAAGCAATCCGTGTTCCCCTCATTTGCATTACATCTCAAAAACTTGAGGATATCTTTCGTTTTGACGTTGCATGTGCATACGTCGCGTCAAGCAAAGTTACGTTTTGTTTTGGCAAGATCCTATGCTCCTTTAATGTGTGCTTTTTAGGAGTTCTAAGAGTGCTGTCTGCTCCACACAGTTTTTGGCTGTTTAAGACCTGAAGCACACGAGAAAAGTTACATCCTCGCTGGAGGTGGAGCTATACGGGCCTGACGACGCAAAGCACGAATAACGCGGCTCCTCGAGGCTTGTTATGTTTAATATATTCCCAGCCCGACCCGGCAGAATAAGCCAGCGGTCTTCCAAAACTACCACAGAGATTTCCATGCAGCCGAATGGTTCCATCAAGGCTCATTTCCAATTCCTGGTGCCGATCTGGCTGCTGTGTTCGGCCAGCCAGGGCTGTCGGCATGAGGCCGCCGTCGCCGTCTCCCCGGCGGCGGTCAATGTACCGGAACAGCCGGTGGGCGCCAGTTGGGCCCCGACTCCGGCCGAAGCGCCCGGGCAGGGCTGCCCCAGACGGGAGGCACCAGACAGGAACCAGCAGACAGCGCACCGGATGGGAGCTGTCAGACGGGAGATGTCAAACGGGAACAAGTAGGCGTGGGTCGCCTGACGGCAGTCAACGACGGGAGCCAGCAGAGCGCACACCGGACGAGAGCTGCCAGACGGAAACTGGCAGGCATAGGTCACTTGACGGCAGTTAACGACGGGAGCCAGCAGAGCGCGCACCGGACGGGAGCTGTCAGACGGAAACTGGCAGGCATAAGTCACTTGACGGCGGTCAACGACGGGAGCCAGCAGACGGCAGCCAACGACGGGAGTCAGCAGACGGGGACCATTAGAGGAAAACTACCAGACGGGAGTCGCTGGGCACGAACCAAGGACAGAAACTGCCCGCCAGAAACCCCCCGACAGGAACCATTCCTACAGAAACCATCCGATAAAAATCCCCGAAAGAGACTATCCCGACAGTAACCACCTGACAGAAATTATCGATAGAAAACCCGAAAGAAACCACCTATGAGGAACCACCCGGCGGGAACCACCCCACATAAGCCACCAGAGGGGAACCACTCGACATAAGCCACCCGGCGGGAACCACCTGACAAGCCACCAGAGGGGAACCACCCTACATAAGCCACCAGAGGGGGAACTACCCGACATAAGCCACCAGAGGGGATCCACCCGACATAAGCCACCAGAGGGGAACACCGGACAGAATTCGCCTGACGGAATTCATAAAACGGAACACGGCAGGCGAGGAAGTTATACACCAGAGCATATGGCAAAGGCCCCCAGACGGAGTACACCAGACGCCAGCTCTAGATCTGAGTGGTCGGGTGGAGGCCAGCAAGGGGTAACCCACAGATAAACACCCACGATCAGAAATAGCTAAAGGAGCCAGCAGACCGGAAGCAGAATATGGGGACACCAGACCGAAGTACCTGACGGGCTCGACGAAACGAGAACTACACGCAGGGACCACCAAATGGCCTCCACCAAACGGTCACCACCAGACCGCACTAAGACGGCAGCACCGTCCAACGGGAGCCCAAAGCAGATGGACCACCACGACGCAGAAATCCCCAAACGAAATCCAACAGACGGCACCAAACAAAGACCAGCTTCAAACGCTCGCTCAAAACGGAGGGCACCACAACACACGAAATCCCCAAAGAAACACCAGACGGCACCAAAACACAGGGGCCTTCAAACGGTAGTCCAAAGGGATGGGCACCACAACACAGAAATCCCAAACAAATACCACCAGACGGCCCCAAAACACGGAAATCCCAAAACAGAGTCCGAACAGAATCGGCACCGCAACAACGAAATATCCAGACGGTAACCAGCAGACGGGAGACAACAGCCAATCATCGCCGTGAAGTCGCTGGGCGGGAGCCGTGGCAGGGCCACCAGCAGAAGGCTGCCGCCAGACGCCTGCTCTCATTCGGCCGCCGCCGACTGCGGGGACGAGGCAGAGGGCTGAACCGTGCGGTCATGCATCATTGGGCGACCGGGGCCGGGCCGCCGCCCCCATTGATAGCCATACCGATTGATCGGGACGGGGTCGGGTGGGGGGGGGGAGAGGGGGGCGGTCACTGGCCCTGATCAGTCTCCCGGGAGCGACTCGCGACGATAGGGAGCGGCCGGGGAGCGGCGCGAAGAAAAACGCCGCCGTCGACCGGCGATAGACGCAGGTCGTCGGCTCCGATTTGGGGACGGCGAGAAAGGCCGGGCCGGTTTGGGCGAGAGCCGCGTGGGGCTGAACAAACGTGATATAGATGACGTCGGTCTGCGGATAACGGCCCAGGGGGCCGCCTGGGACGCTAGGGTTGAAAGCTCGAGACGATCAGATGGCGCCGGCAAGACCGATAGAAGCGTGTCGTCGAGGAGCTGTGCGCCGTGTAGACGATAGGGGTTTAGCGATTTTCGTTACATGGAACGCGATGTCACGCAGCATTGTCTCAACGCTGTGACTGACTGGGACACAATGCGACACACATTCTTCAACGCCATAGCTGCAGTAGCTGCGTAAGGGTGGGGACGCGGCGAAAGCCTTCCGTTATGTGAAAGCTTGACGTTGACCCTCTGGCCCTGCGTGGGAAGAATCAACTTCAAAACGGGGCTTGGCGCTCCAAATTCTTGGGACGTTCCAACACTCTTGCTCATAACACAACTGCCATGCTGGCCACAGGCTCATCTGTATAAGGTCATTGCGAACCAGCGGCAAAGACAACGACACCACGTTCAGCTCATTTGAATTGAAATAGGCTACCTCGCATAACATACGCTGCTTATAATCTATATACGGTTATGGTTACAATGTTTTCAAGATCGGGCTTTCCAATCTTTTTCATCATGCTCCCTCAGATTTTAATTCTTTATTAAATTCAGATTTAATTCTTAATACGCCTCGGTAGCCAGGTCTTATGAGCGTGAACTTCATTAATGATTAATGAAAATCTTCTAGAAGACTTGCACTGCAAACAAAGCCAGCCCTGTGATGTTTAATGTAACGATAGATAAGAAGTGCATCTTAATACAGCCTCTATTG